AAATGACTGTAATGAGATAGGCTGCTTCTTTTATCCTCATGCTTCAAGCTTGAAGAACCACAAAGGATAAAGTAAAGACTTACCGTCTTGCATTTTGTACAAACTTGCTAAAGGTGTCCTCCCAATTAAACAACTTGAGAATATTGATTCCGCTGATAAGCTCATTAAACAATCTGACGCGTTCGTCTGTCAGACGGGCGAGCTTCTCCCTGAATAACAAAAATAAATGATAACGAGTTGTTTAACCATCTTTCTAAGTCACACCAATGTAGTCGGTGTGTCTGCGTGATGGAATTAAAGTCGGCGTAAATGAGCAGACTTAGGTCGGCATAAGCCTGTGCCCGTGTCCATTCTTGAAGCTAAACTAGATTATTGTTTAAAAACAATTGTAACAGCGATGTTAAAATTGTGGTCAAAAGAAGTTTTTTTTAGAGAATAACTCGTTTTTTCGGAGATAAGCATGAGTATATAGACTAAAAGTCAATACTTAGGCTTTCTAGACTTTCCTTTTAGACATGTTATTAAATTGAAACTGTGACCTGTATGAAAGAAACATAATCAAATGCCGGTCGTGTGGGTAAGCGTCCCATTTATGAGGTGTTTCGTTTCTGGCAAACAACTATATGGGAGAATTGCCAATAGAACTGAATATGCGAGTCCCAGGAAGCAATTCTGAAGAAGAAGAAGATGCGAATACTCGAACAAGAGTTTTATTTTCCTGACGTTTCGGATTCTTTTGAGAATCTTTAAGCAAAGGTAATTGTAAAAAAGTCTGAGACATGCGCAGATAAGTGTGATACATGCACAGATTGCACGGTATTTATAATTCGCAGCGGTCATCCGCACCAATTAAGACCTCAAGTGGTGGCTACAGAAACGGATAATTATAGTACGCCTGCGGATGACCGCAACGAACTATAAATGCCGTGCAAACTGCGCATCTATCAGACTTTTCTACGATTACTTATGAGTAAGGATTCTCGACAGAATCGGAAGCGTCAGAAAAATAAAACTCCTGCTCCAGTGGTCGCATCTTCTACTTCTCTATCGAAGAAATCGAGATCACCTGAGTGCATGACCATCCCAAACATGTTCTATCTCGTTATATTTTTTACTGACTTACCAAAATATATTTTCAATTAGAAAATGTTACTTAAATAGGCTTGTAAAAGTGATAAGCAAGCTATTTTTCGGTGGCCTGCAAAAATTAAATGAAGTTGGTTACAAATTAGGTCTTCCTCAAAATTTAAATTTTAAAAAGGTAACTAGTAGGAAAGTATGGAAGTAAAACGTACGGAAAGTCGTAAATGCGAAGAAGATTAATCAAGTTCACTTGCGGGAGGTTCTTTTGTGTACACCCGAAAGGCTTCATTGGTGGTGACGAAGCTTTCTGACTGATTTATAAGGTCCCACTAAAGTGCTCTAAGTCACTGAGTCAGCGCGTGATAGAAACAGCGGAGGCGACCGCTATTAGGTTCCGAAAGCCGGACTTGTGTACGTAAAAGCATCTTCTGCGAGCTCTGTGCCTGGCTTATGTGCAAGTACTTTTCTCTTTCCGTCCGCTTCTCTCCTGGACCGGCTCCAACAAACGCTCACCGCCATGTGACCAGTCGTCTCTTATCAATCCTTTCCCCAGTATTTCCATGACTCAGTTGGGTGAGCTAGATAACGTAATTGACCGAATTTTTTACCCTCCAACCCGTTTCCATATAAATTTAGTGGTCCGATGAAAATTTATGGAACTGCTACCTATACTCGCCAAGTGCTCGGTTCAAAAGTGTAAGTCGTGAAAGACCATAATATGATGAAAAGATGGGTTGGACGCGTGTAGAAGTACACTGTGTGCTACGGGTGACCTTGAATTAAATTACAGGGGAAAATTACTCAGTGTCCTTACTCCAACCCTAAAGCTAAACTCGACCCTCCCACCACCTAAAATTTAGCTCGAAGCCACCTGTACTGCAGCGGTGATTTTATCCGCACCCTAGCGAAAGCAAATGTAGCACAGAACTATGCTACCATAGCAACTAGCGAAGGCGGAATTCCCTTGTAGGCGTGGTCTTCGTGAATTTGGGGATTTAAAATTGTTGTGCAAAAATCGTCTGGAAGAGGTAAAAGGAAAACAATTACAGTTTGTCAGCGGCATGTGTTCCACCTCCACTAATGGGCTATTATAAGACTCACCACGGAAACCAACCTCCCCCCCCCAACATTGTGAAATATGGGACCAGTAGTAAGAGGGGTTATACGAGTGGGGCCAAATGGGGGCGCAGATAAGAAAATAAATGCTATATAGCAAAACATAACGATAAAATAGCTAAAAGTGTTCTAAAAGCTAATATAGAGCAACTAAAAAACGCGCGATAATCAAAAAATAAATTGATATAAATAATTAATAAATTTAATAAAATAAGAATAATCACTATTACCAGCGGACACGTATTGCAGAATTCTGCGGAATTCCGCCGTGAACCCTATAATAGACTATTACCCCGCATCTTTTTAAACTTAAATAGACGCAAGCAGCGTAGTACTTTCAAACTTAAGTATGTTAGTCACCTATATGGCATATGTAATAATCACCGTCAACCGCTTTGGTTGCTTCTGATGCTATCCACAACATTTGAAGCTGTACAGTCCACGGGGTGTTTCTAAACAAATGCTTAGTATTTCTTATATTTCTTTTAAGGTACAAATTCGCTTAAGGTTGTTCACTATTAGTTCAAAGTCTTCGTACATGCGATTCGCGAGTATTTATCTGTATTTTGCAACTAGCGACCAGTTGCGTGAGTTTAAGCCCGTACTGTATGTGTCATAATCGTAAAAGTTGTTATAAATATCATTTGAACTGTCAGGGCATCTAACATTCAAATTCAAGGGAGCAAGTCTTAAAGGCGTTAGACTAGCCCATAAAAGAAGACGTCATTTGCCGACTCACTTGATCCTGGCCGCGAGTTTTCCACAGGACACCTGTATGGGGATGAACAGGAACAAGGCGAGGATTCCAAAAACGCAGACGTAACCGCCTTCTTCGTACATGAGCCAGAGCACCACCAGGACCTGAATTGGCGTCATCCAGACTGCGTGGATGGAATGAAGTGCCTGTGGGTGTTGTGGTAAATGGAAAATAACTGCCGTCAGAAGTAGTTAAAAGTTCTGACCGGATAAGAAACTATAGTCTAAACGAAGATGTGTATTGAGGCAAATGTTCGCATTCCAGGAACGTGTATATTTTGAGAAGAAATGTATTTCATCAGCTGTTTGCAAAACTATCGACTCGCGATTCGAAGTTGCAAAACCTTGCACTTGTTGGCACATGGGCCGGGTTATTCGGTAATTTGCTCTGCGGCCAATCATTTCTTCAAATATATTGCTTCTAATTTCTTTGCATCGCATAGCTAAAGTTCAATTATGCAATTTCATTACATCAACCATTCCGTATTCCAAAAAGTGCAGTAGGTGACACCGAAACACATATACAGTCAGTGACCACTTTCATAAAATAATCAACAAAATTCTTAAATTCCTTTTCGACTGAGCAAGCTTACACAAGCGGGGTTGAAATATCGATATCGTGCGACATAATACCATAGCATTTCAAACACGATAGGAACACGGCTTTTGAGGGCAATCCTTTACGGCCATTGGCAAATGCTGCACTCAATAATAAAATGAGTGTTTATTAGTTAATGTTAATTAATTTTTAATATACATGAAAACATATTTTATAGAAAACGTAAGCAACAGTATTCTTTCTTGTACTCATTTTATAACCCATCACGTTTTCATAAAATTTCATACTCCAGAAACGTCTTTTAGTTTTAACAAAGTTTCTAACCTTGAGATGCTTTAGGACCGTACAACATCCACTCACCTTCTGTTTAATGTCAATCTATGTATTTGAAATAAATGGTAGAAGCCCTTGAAAACTCCACCGAGGCCCTAGGAGTCTGCATGAAAAATACTTAAGTTAAAAACAGTTTTACAGGCATTTTAATGCTCGCAATGCATAAAGCCAGTCATTTGCGAAATAACAACGAACAACCTATTCATTGCATTCGCACTCTGAAATTGTTGGCAGGGTCAAAGTTAATGTTAACAAAATGGTCTGTTCAAATCAAGCTAGACGTATGTTTATAGTTATCTCAGTAGCTCGTCATCAGCAGGTTCGAAGAGCCCTGGTCGGCCTGTAACAGGTAACTATAATGACGCCTCTTAAACACACTTACGGCAGAAGAATGACAAAATTCATCGGTATGTAACTCCACTGACGAATTACCCTCTGTGAGAAAAGGGAAGATCGTTTATTCATTTGACACAGTTCCTTTTTATTTGCACTTCTGTCCTCTGAGGTTCGTCTTTGGTGGCAGTTCAAAAAGAATTTCCAAGTTCACATTCAAATCAAGCGTTGCGATAAGGTAATCTCTGTCTTTTTTCTAGTAAAGGTATAGAGATTTAAGGTGGTTCGTCACCGCTCGAACATCAAACGTCTGATTTCAGTAACACTCTTTTAGCAAGCATTTTAAATATTAGTAGGGTCCCTCTCAAGCATACCAAAATGGTCCACAGATAAGCAAGCCTGATATTTTATTCGTCGTACATTAAAAATATCATTATATGTTTAATGAGATCATTCACAGAAAACAACTGAATAGAATAAGGAAAAAGATGCAAGATTTTGAATTTCATCAAAAAATCCACAGTCGAGCTACTTAACGCAAAGAGCCAGGAAAATCTGCTCGGCAGACACTATTGAAACAGAGCTCCAGAAAATCCACGACCTGCTTAGAGAGAACAGATATCCAGACATGAAGAATACGATGGAGAGAGAAACAAAACTCAACACATCCACTATGGAAAAGTAGACACTATTCCTCAAAGTCCCCTTTCAAGAGCATGCGATGGGTAAACTCTTAAGCAAACGCCTCAACCAAGCTGTATCACGAACCTTCCCAGCAGCGAAAGTTCAGGTGTTATTCTCAACAAACCCGGTCCTGCACGACAAAGGTAAAGATAGGCTGCCAGCTCAGACCACTTCTATGTGCATCTACTCATTTACTCATATCGATCGCACGAGTCAGCGCTTATCCAAAGGAATACGGGAGCATTTCCCGGCCTGACTGGCCAAAGGTGAAGTCAGAAGCATCAAAAGCGCCATCTTTGCCTGCATGGTTGACTCCGGACATCGTGTGCACCCCAACGAAGCCTTGAAGGTAATTTATTAGGTCCCACCAAACTACCCAAAGTTCCTGGGGTCAGCGTTTGTTAGCAACATCACTTTCTCTTCCTTCTACCTCCCCCCCTGTCCGGATTCAACAAACCCTCATTGCCTCATTACTAGTCACGTACTATCGACCGTAACCCCAGCCGCCCCCCTCCCCTGTGCCCATGACTAATTTGCCTGTAGTGATGAGCATAATTGCTCGTATGTCACCCTTTACCCCCTGTCCATATAAAGGTAGTGGCCCGAGAGACGTTTATCGAAAACAATGTATGCTCGCCAAGTACTCCTCTGAATTCCCTGATAGAAATTTTTTTAAAACCTTAAAACTGCTTTTAATTGAGAATCTTATTAGAGAACTTTTACAGTGACTAAGACTTATACCGATTCCAAGCGCTCCTTCTGGGAAAGCATTTACTTCTTTGACAAAATTTGTCTACGACGTCGATAACATGTGAAAAGAGCTTTTTGAGAGAGCACTGCCCTGGCTGCAACTTTAAGACCCTGTCCACAACTGATTTATGAGATGGTTATCAAATCTGGAGGGCGGTCAGTCGCGTGGTCGACTGGGGAGGTCTGACCGTCGATGTCGGCGAGTTCCACCGTGTGCTTCACAACAGGGTGGTGCAGGGACAGTGGCAAATAGTATTGCGAGTCCTGCAAGCAACTTGCCTAAATTTTTAAATGTCTGATAATTTCTCCCATACCAGCGAGAACGCATTTACGAAAAACTTATAAATAATAACGAGTAGCATTAGACATATTAAGTACTTAAAAGAACTATAAGAAGTACTAAGTTTTTGTTAAGAAA